GTTAGGGTTAGGGTTAGGGTTAGGGTTTAGGGTTAGGGTTAGGGTTAGGGTTAGGGGTAGGGTTAGGGGGGGGGGGGGGGGTGGGGGGTGGGGGGGGGGGTGATGGGGACTCACAAAACCTGCTCCTCGGCCTAGATAACAGGGTTTAGCTTTTCCGGGATTTCCCGAAGAAACGGCTTCTCTTCTTGCTCTCCCTCCGAAATCCCTTTCCGTGGGTGCGAACCCCCGTGGGCTTTGGGCCGGGGAGGGAGGGCTGAAGGGCCCACGCAGACACGGGCACCCCGGGGTGACTCTGGTGGCTGAAAGCTGCCCTCCCACGCCCGCCCCCTCCGCTTTTGTCCAGCCTCATCGGAGAAATTCGCCTAGAGGAAAAATCTGGCTCTCCCCCGGCGCTGCTCGAAGCAGCTCTTGCTCCTTCTGGGGGAGCAGCGAAGAAACACCGCCTAAAAATAAGCCCTTCCTGAAATCTGGTGTGTATCCTCCGCCGGCTTTTCCACCGTGGCTCCATCCATATTAATTCTTTCCCTTACTTTATAATTATTTATTGTTTGGTTTTCAACCTGTATTCGATCCTCGGGATCGAATTACCCCCCCGGCGGCTTTCCCCACTCGATTTTCCCTAGACGGTGTTTGGCTTGGCTTCGCCTACGGGTTTCCTAAGGGCTCCCCGTTCTTCAAACAGTTAATTCTCCCAACCGGTGCTCCGGGACTCAGATGGCCAAAATTCCTCGCCCTGAAGCCCGAGTCTCTCTCCCTTCCCCATTGGGTCGCAGCTTTTGGGTCTCTCCCGATCTCTCCTTCCTATTGGCCGGGGGATAGTATTTTTTTTCTTTTTTTTTTTTTTTTTTTTTTTTTTTTTTTTTTTTTTTGAAGCGAATAGAAATAAAATGTTAAGTATCATCTAGGCAACCGGCCGGGATCTCTACCTAGCGGGTTTGTGCCTACAGTGGCAAAAAAAAGCGGGAAAAAATAGAAATAAAATTAAATTAAATTAAATTAAATTTAAAAAACCAAACATCTCCTGGCCACTAATAAGACACTTTCTTCCCTGTAGCCTTATTTCATTGTGGCTTATTACCCACTACAATACTATCCTACTAACTTAGAAAGAAGCAGTCTCACGTGCTTACGTATCAAAGTCCTGGCAGCTAAAGCACAATATGGGGCACTAATGCTCAACTGGCCGCTCATCCGCCCAAGGGTCTGGGCTAGGGGGATAAGATGAGTGAGAGGAGAAGATCGGCGGTGGCCCTCAGCTCCCGAGCGCACGCTTTCTCGGTAGAAGCCTTGATTGGGACGAATAAAAAAAGGAAACTGCGAGATTGGGAGGACAAGGGGCTGGATTTGTCCATGGAAAGCCTCAGCCCCAATGGCCAGCTAGGGGACAATGAAGACCCGACTCAGTGCCTGGACCTCAACCCCGGTTAGTGCAACTCCTTTCTCTTCGGGACCCCCCCCTTACCCCCTCCCCGCCGAGCCCTGCCGGGAGAGCGGCGCCGGGCAGGGCGGGCAGCGCCTCCCGGAAAACATCCGGGACCGGGGGTAGAGGAAAAGGGGGGGAGGATTTTTGCGGAGATTCCTTGGATTTTCATTTTAACTTTTTTTTTTTTTTTT